AGAGATGTGTATAAGAGACAGGCTAAAGGGCTTCCAAGAGCAGTAGACCTGAAATTCTTCAAAATTCTTCATAGGCAAGTACAATAAACCAAGGCGCTAAATCCTGCAACCATTCGCGGGTAAAGCCAAAGGACCAAAGAGCCATAAGACCTGCATGTCTTTGCAGGCAGGACTCGAAAACAAACACCCAATAACACCCGTCAACCCACTCACAATCCTACCCCATCAAAAAGGGAATACAGATTAAGTTCTGGCTAATTCCCTAACCTACCAAACTCCCATCCTTACCCACCCAACAGGGTCAGGGCGTGCGTCCAGGCGGGACGCAAATGGGCAGGCCCCCCGTGGTCCCCGTGGGCGTGTCGCGTGCGCCCTGGGCTTTGGCCCGGGACGCCCGCTTCACGGCTAAACTGCTCATCTTGCGCAAACGAACCGTGCAAGCGCTGCTGGATTTTTCCATCGCCACTCTCGGGGCGGTTGGTTTTGCAAAAATAGTGGATGGCATAATGTTGCGTATGCCCGTTCGGGCGAGGAAGCACGTGGGCGGTCACTTGTGACCCCACACTTACATTAACTGTCCCTATCTACTGGCGGGGTTGTCTAACACTCCCCGAGGTGGTCGTCCCTCCGGGGCCCTTGATCCCCATACGTGGTGCTTAGGCGCGACAATGGATTCTCTGGGCTCGGGGTCGGGGACGAACCCCAAAGCTGTGGCTTGTAAAGACATAACAAATGTCAAAAGTGGTAGTGCAAAATGAATGAGGTAGTGCAAAATGAATGTGATAGTGCAAGAGGTGTCAAGCAGTAAGGGTAGTAAGAAGGCTGGGGGTTGTCCCACCCCAGGCCTAAAGAATGATAAATGGTGGCGGAGGCCTCGAAATATTCTGGTGCTTGAGCTCGCCTGCTCGCCCGAATGTATATTCGATGGTTCTCTGTTAACTGGCCGTCTCCAGGCGCGCATGTGAATCTGGTCCGGGAGTGCACTCAGTGTACAGACTCGGAAGTCCCTGGCGTGACCCTCAACGAAGGGTCGTGGCGTACGCCTCGGGGCTAACGATGTCGACCCGATCGGATTCACTTGCGGGAGATGGCCTAAGAGCGTGAACGCTTAGGGTTGTGTAGCGCCACACACAGCCCGGGCGGGAGCGCTATGACACCAGGGAGTGACCCCATTTCCGGCCATCCTTGGCGGGCTTCTTCAGTGAAGCACCAGGTGGCTCAGGTTGTGGTGGTTACCTTGTGCGGTTTCTTCAGTGAAACGCCAAGTAGGCTTGGGCATTTTGAGCGGCTTCTTAAGTGAAGTGCCAAAAGGCCTGGGCTGGGCCTGGATACTTTGAGCGGCTTCTTCAGTGAAGCGCCAAACGATTCGGGCTTCCACCTGGTTAGGCTTGGGCATTTAGAGCGGCTTCTTAAGTGAAGTGCCAAATGGCCCGGGCTGGGCCTGGACACTTTGAGCAGCTTCTTCAGTGAAGCGCCAAAAAGGGTTCGGGTTGCGCCTGGACGTTTCGAGCGGCTTCTTCAGTGAAGCGCCAAAACGATTCGGGCTTCCACCATAATGAGTATATCAAAGAATTTGTTAATGTCTAAAAGCAGGCCCGCCGCCTTACTGCCCTTGACTTCGGCCAAAGCAACACGCCGCTATAGGCAACCTAAATACGCTGCAAGCTC